GACACCGTGCAGTAGACCGACGTTTCTGAAGAGGCAGTACAATTCTCCGAAACGTCGACTAACTTGTGCCGGACTGGAGGGACTACCTCTGTCGGTTACTTAGCGACACTTGCAGTGACGCAGAATATACGCGTGATGAAGAGGAGGGGATGTGGAAGGAAACGGCCGTGATCATTTGCCTAACTGAAAACCCCAGGTCCATCCCAGATTCGAACCAAGCACCTACCGGATACAAAAACTAGAGCTTTACCTCTAGACCAGCTTGTTCGGTACACGACTCTTGACCTTGTCCACAATAGCTGAGCCAGATTAATCCTTTTCACGCCCTCACACCCTATTTCTATCAGATCTATTTTAATATTATGGCCTCATCTACGCCTAGGTTTTCCAGTTGGTTTCTTACCTTGAAGTTTCTGACCAAATCTTTGCATAATTTCTCGTGTGTGGCACGCGCCATGCTATGTGATCTGCCAATCCCAACGACCAGCAGCAAATACATATGAGCATAAGGGGGGGATGCACTGGACAATAGGAATCTGTGTAGATGGGAGTAATGTTGTCGAAGTTTCGGAGGTAGATGCTGCCTCCATCTTCAGGGTAGTGATGAGTACGGCAAGTATTCGTGTATATACACGTTTTGGTCCAACAGATCCACAAGGGAGGGGGTTGGAGCACCAGTCCTCACGCTTGCCCCGCGGGTGTGCCGGACCGAAACGTGTATGTTCACACCCTACTCATGAGGTCCCTGAAGATGGATGCAGCAGTAACGCTCCGGACTTGTGTTTTGGAGGTGCTCGCTTCAGATCTGGGCCAGGGCACCGGCTATTTACAGGCTCTTCGTGGGTTTCCTCAGTCCCTCTAGACAAATGTAGGGATAGTTCCTCGCTTAGGCCAAGACCGGCTCCTTCCACATCCTCTCCAATTCATCATGTTCAGTCATCCTACCGCTGGACGTTGCAGAGGTCCCGCTTGTATCGGTTCATTAGCGCCTGATGGGGAGGCTGACTGCTGTGCTGTACACACAAGCAACCGGAAGTGAGACAACGTGTTCTCTCGAGACCACATCCGGCGGCAGGGCGGCACATCGAAACAGTGTTGGCCGACAGTCGCGTCTGTATGCTACCACTGTCCCGCTGCAAGCTTCCGACTAAATACTTCGACGTTCAGAGTCTGAAGTGAAAGTCGGACAACAGTGCTACATTCTTCTTGCTACGTCACACACACACACACACACACACAGGGGGGGACAGGGATCGGAGCTCTACTTTACTTCAAAGTCGCCGCAACTGATCGGCCGTGTAGGCTTGTGCTTAATTAGGCATCGCGCGTGTGGCGCAGCGGAAGTACAGCCTCGGTACCAGACGGAGGAGAGCAGCTTCACGTCCCGACCGGGTGGACCCCAGAGCCAGTCTCGTCGTTACGGAGCAGAGAAAGCTCTTACACGTGCCGAGAATCGAACCGGGGCCGTCCAGCCCGTAGCCAGTCGCTGTACCGACTGAGCTACCCCTTTTCCCCTGTTTCCCCACAAACCGCTATGAGCCAAACAAATCCCGGCTGGGTGGGCTGACCTCTCAGCACGAACACATCTCTGCTTGCAGCTTATTCTCCTACCCTCAAGATGGATGCACCAGACTACACGGCGCCTCTCAAACTCAACATCCTTCTCGTTAAGGAAGTGCCTCGCTTGCTTCCTCACGGGAGAACGGGTGACGTCACGACGCGAGGCGAGGCCTCATTTGCGGCGATGTTCTGAGGACCAGAACTGACGCTTGTTCCGTGAAATGGCAACCCGCGAACGCTTGGGGTGGGGAGATTTCTCGAGCAGCTGAGCGACTGTCAGTGTGACGAGGGGTCCTCAACGTCTTACAGAGGTCACATGCACACTGTGCGACTAGTTTTTCCAGCAGCATACTGAGTACAGCTTAGTAATGAGTAGGGACCAATAATAACGCGCCTGCCCGCAGCCAGTCTCAAGTGATCAATACTTCGCGCACTGAGCTGCTCTTACGGAGTGGACTGCCTCCTCCAGAACTGCACGGGGCTCGAACTGACTGCCTCTGAGGAAGCGTCTTCCGCGAAGCGCTCTGTTCTTCCGCTGTCAGTGATCGTTTCTAATCGCTGCATTTCAGTTCTTCAGAGCGGGTAGCGTAGTAGATTGAGGCACTATGCTACAAGCCGGAAGGTCGCGGGTTCGATTCCCGATGAGGTCATAGGATTTTTCAATTGACCTAACCCTTCCAGCCGCACTATGGCCCTGGAGTCGACTCGGCCTCTAACAGAAATGAGTTGAATTAATTAATTAATTAATTTTCCTGGGGGCAAAGGGAGGCGGCGCGTAAAGCCGACAACCTTACCGCCATCTGTGAGACGACTCTCTAGAAAATGTGGGAACCTCAACATCTCACAGCCCTATGGGCCTCCACGGCCCGTTAGAGGGATAGCTTTCACAGAGCGGCGATTCTGATGGGATGTAATGCCGTGCAGTCCGGTAGAAGTTTAGAGAGCTTTCGGAGGAAAGTGTTGCCTCCATCTACCGAGTAGACCACAGAGCAGGCAAATTCTGGGTTCCTTCGCCCTCAGCGGCTTGGCTTACCCCCTTTCGGACTTTTGAAAATATCACATTGAAAACATAAGGAAGGAAATGCACCAACTGTGGCCAGTGTCTCAAACGGCTTAAACTCCTGGCTTCCGGCAGGCCCTTCGAGCAGATCCTAGAGGTCACCACGACTGTGGACACTTCAACATAATTCGCCGTCTTGCGTCGCTGTTGTTTTAAGCTTTCCCAAACAAAATGTTTATATTACGGAGTTAGCAAGCGAGAGCTCTTCTCTGTAGCCTGATAAGAATTTTCCGATGTTTTGGAGAAACATGCCGCTTCCATTTGCAGGGTCGAATAAGTCAAACACTAAATCAGAATGAAGAAGAAAATAGGCTGAGCTCTTCATAATCACGTCAAACCGAACAAGTTAGGAAACATATGCGGATGGTTCCCAGCTTCCCCCGCCGTCCTGTATGCAGCATGAAGAGGCGCAGTCGGTGGGCAAGGCCCCAGGGGCAAGTGTGAGTGCACCCACTTGACTGGTTCTCAAAACAAGTGACACAAATTAAAATATCTTATTTAATTGTCTCGAAAACCGAAAGACGTACGGAGAAATTGTAACGGACGCAAAACGTGTCCTGCTCCTGTTTCCATCAGAGAACTGGAGCCGAGGTGGGCACAGACACGCGCGTGAGTCTTCACGTAAAGGCTCTGCTTTTGCTGCCAGATGTCTACCAAAAAATGTGTTTCTCCGACAACCTTTAGAGAAAATCGTGAATTCGTCAGTAATTCCGACAGACAGACAGAGACAGAGAGAATTAGGGGCGCGTTTCCACACCTCTGCTTTCGGGCCGGTCCGAAACTGCGAATGTCCACCAACATACACAACTTTCGGGCGCTGCAGTATTTTCAGCTCAGAACCACGACAGGGCGATACCGAGCTTAGCGGAGGGTACGGCGTACTGTGTATAGTGAACAATGCATTGCGAAGGATGTGGAAGGAAGAGGTCCTGCCACAGTCGAGGTACTACACCACCATTTGACTCGACGGACTGAGGAAACCCACGAAAAGCCTCAGTCAGGACAGTCGGTGAGGGTCCAGGCCGAGACTCGAACCCAGTGTCTATGGAACACAAGTGTGGAGCTTACCGCGACAGCGACCGCAGCTATGTCTCGGAACTATCTAATCCTCTCTTTGCTCAAGATATTAATATCTCGGAAGATAAAGCAACATCACACACGGGCGGGTCAGGGGGCTAAACCCACAATGTAATTAGTATCATTAGGTTCGAGTACAGAGAGAGTGTGGGGGGGGGGACATTTCGAGGCGACGTCACGTGGTGTCAAGCTGGACTCACATCTAGGAGCCCCGGAACGATCGCAAACCCAAATAATATTTAGAATTTCAGTTCGAACCGCACAAGCAACAGAGACTGCATAATGCAGAGTTTTAGTGTGTTCAGTCCGTACCTCACAGGAAACACATTACGTCTCCGCTACAGAGCCCAACCGGTTAATGCTGTTTGGGGATACAGTCGCTGTTTATTTTGAGAACCATATGGAACACATAAATACACTGTGTGGGCAGAATGCAGAGACTATATATAAGAATTCAGTCCGTACCTGGCAGGAAACACGTCTCCGCTAGAAAGCCCAACCGGTTAATGCTGTTTATTGTGGGAACCATACGGAACACATTAGGAGCTGGGATAGTTCAGTCTATATATCGACGGCCTGGACGTCCCGGGTTCGATTTCCATTAGGGGCAAAATTTTTCTCTTCTCCAAAGCGTCCAGGCCGACTCTGGGGTTTACCCGTCCTCCTATCCAACTGGTACCGCGGGCGATTTCCCGGGGGGTAAGGCAGCCGGGGCGTGAAGTTGACCACTCACCTCCAGCTAATTCAAAAGCGAAGAAAGGTGAACCCATGCCTTCAGGGTATAGCGCTTAATTAACTGGGACAATTTTACCTTTCCCTTTCTTATCATACGGAACAGATGAATATAGAGCCCAGTGGTAGACTCGTCTGGAAAAGGTACTAAACGTTTGGGTTGCATGAATTGGGCAGCTGATAGCCCGGAAGGAATCTGCTACAGGAACCGATTACTGTGGGGGCAACTTTAGGGGAAGAGCCGTGCTGCGTGTTCACGTGACCTCCGACATGGAGATTGGTTCCCACCGCGTTCTCACGTTGCGGGTTCGTTACGTCACCACTAGATTCCATTTTCAGTAGAAAATCGCCATACCTGACATCTCGTGCGGTACACTGGGCTTTCCTTCCGTGAGATTGCCTACTCGAGGCGCGAACGAGGGACCCTCACAAGGCGCAATTCAATGCAGGACGGCGTGTGTGTGTGTGTGTGTGGACTCTCTACAAACAACTCCAACATGCCTACACACAAGTCTACTCCCCGCTCCCGAACTAACTACTATCTACTGCAGCAATTCTACTTGTCACATACCGTGCCTCGCCCCTTGCCGCGGCCGCGTCTACCCTCTCCTCTGACGTAGCTACCCTCCGACGTATAAAGGTGCTGAAAAAGGGCCCAAAATAAACAAAACTTGCTACAAATAAAAACAATCATTAAGCTAAACAAGTAAATGGACACCGAGTGGTACAGTCTGTGTTTCTAGACCTGGTCCCCGGTACAGGTTCTGCATACGTTACAACAGTGTGTCATCCCCTGCGCATTGCAGCTGCAACCACTGCCACAAGCCAGTTGCACGGGGGTTGAATAGCAGAAATCACAGCACCTCTAGCGGGAATCGAATACAGGTTATCAGGACTATGAAAAGGCAGCATGTAAAGTTGTCCCTGTGTTTAATTAAGTACCACAGCATGAAGGAGTATGGGGGACTGGAGGTATAACTTAGCACATTATTAATATCGGTATTGGATGTGGATGGTCAGCTTCACGCCCCGGCTGCTTTACCTTCGGGGACTGTTGGATAGATCACTGTGTCTGCCCCAGAGACGGTCACGGATACTACGGACTAGGGCAATAACTTCGGCCGTCCAGTCCATAATCTAGCTAGATGCCATACCGACTGAGGTACGAAACACAGGTAGATCATAAGTGACCACTTTCCTGATAAGGGAACCCGACGTTTAGGCGCCGCTGAAGCCAAACTTCTTCGACAATTCTTTCTTCAAGGTGGCAAACATCAGGACACAAGCTAAACGTTCTTTACTGAGAACTCGTGTCTCCACTGGTGCCACGTCACCCCCCCCCCGGGGGATTAGAGGGGTCAGCCACTGGGCCANGAGCCAACCGAAAGGGGTAGTCCAGTCAGTTACGCTCCTGCATTGCAAGCCGCAGGACCCGGCTTCATAGCCCGACCCGTAGACTGGCTGTCCTAACTGAGGCGTTTTGTGGATTTTCTAGCTCGTTCCGGCTAAATGCCTACCTAATACTTCCAAATAGGCCACGGCCGCCTCTTCCGACATTCTTTGCAACTCATTCACTAATCATCTTACCACTTGGCGCTGTATACAGTCTGGGCTACTGACAGCGTTGTTAAGGAAATGCATTGTGCTACAGCACTGAAAGGGGCTCTGGGGTGTCAAATGTCTCAATTTGTGAAGAACGCTAACAACGGACGGCATCTTCGCTACATGTATTCCTCGCTCTATACATGCAACTTTTTAAAAAGAAGTGTTTCGTACTGAGCCCTCACCTTAACTCCAAAAGTCGCCACCGGAACCGCCACTTTCCGTGCATCCAGATGTTGCGTTTCTACTCTGTCCTGCCACCTAACGTCCATGCGTAGAACTCTGTAGCTAGTTTCAAATGCGCATGAGCAGAGAAATGGCGTACTCTGAATCATAAAAGGAAATCGATTTTTTCTACTCTCCCCTCCGGCCTTCCAACTTGAACCGTGTGCCCGTACAGCGTTGGCTTTAAAATTAAATTATCGGTACGCGAGGGTAGCAATAACTATTTTTACGACCAAAAACCTGGGGTCATATCATTTTACTGGGAAAACGGAGGCTGCGAACATACCAGCCATTTTTACAATTCGATTATATTGGCTTGTTTTCGCTACGGGTATCACAAACAGTTTCGTCATGTCGCTGTTTTCCTTAGTCACGCGGGACGGACCCGTGCCGGACAGGGCAGTCCGAATGGCGAACAGGGACATTTCGCGCGGCAGAGGCGAACAGTACAAGGCAAACATGACAAGAGCCTGGAGCATCTCAACTCCTGTTTCTCCATATCAGAATTCGACGAGCACCCGTTCTTCGCCCGGGATATAGTCGCTTCTCTTGTCAATATCACACAAGGCATAGCAGCTGGAATTTCAAAGAAGGAACAACATTAACATCTGGAAATTAACGTAAAGTTGAGGTTCTCACAGCGGTTTCTAGGACGGGTTCCGTTTTCTGGAATATAACGCCTTGTAGCACGTTGAAAATCAACGGACGTTTCGGAGGAACATATCGCCTCCATCTTCAGGGCCGAATAATAAGCCAAACAAGAACCGAGCATGAAGCAGGGTGAAAGCTGTGCTGGTTTCTTGCTTGGCTTACCCTTCGTCACTGAAAAGGGAAGCGATATGTTCCACCGAAACGTCGGCTAACTTTCGATGTACTACACTGCGGTACATAAGAGACGATAGGTAAAAGTTAATATATTGTTGTCTTCGACGTTATGACACCGTGTAGTCTGGTAGGCGTGCACCAAAATTTCATAGGAGTATTTTTGGCTCCATCAGCAGCTTAAATCACCTTTACCCTGAAGATGGAAGTAATGTATTCATCTGAAACGATCTACTCTTCGAACCAGTATACACGTACATCCGAATTTCCCCCCGGCCGACGAACGCTGAAACTGAAATCAGTAACTTTCTAATGATGACGTCACAGTCCACGCCATTAACTGGCAATGACGCAACCTCTGTCCTGCAGAAGGTGGTGCATAACTGCGACCCGTAAGTGAAGACAGGAGACCGGGGCGGCCGCGACATTGCGGAGGGGGAGGGTGGGGTAAAGTAAAATAGCCAGTGCCAATTAAGCAGAAACCTTTGTATGTTCAGCATGTAAGAAAACGATTTGAAATTATTTTAATTTGCGTTATCAACAATCAGCATATTTCCTTCGGTACACAATTTGTATGTACTTACTTACTTACTTACTCATTGAGCTGAGCCCTTCTGGAGGAGCCGCCAATTCTGCAGCTACTCAAGAATTTCCCAGCATTTTATGGAACCCGAAGGTTCATCACCGTGTTCACAAGAGCCCTCCACTGGGCCCTATCCTGAGCCAAATCTACCCAATCCATCCTATCCTATCCATCTAAGATCCATTGTAATATTGTCCACCCACCTACGCCTTGGTCTTCCCTGTGGTTTCTTTCCTTCTGGCTTTCCCACAAATATCCTATACGCATTCCTCGTCTCCCCCATTCGTGCTACATGACCTGCCCACCTCATCCCCCTTGACTTGATCACTCTAATTATACCTGGAGAAGAGTACAAGTTATGAAGCTCCTCATTATGCAGTTTTCTCCAATCTCCCGTCACTTCATCTCTCTTCGGTCCAAATATTCTCCTCAACACCCTGTTCTCAAACACCCTCAGTCTATGTTCCTCCCTTAATGTCAGAGACCAAGTTTCACACTCATACAGAACCACAGACAAAATTATAGTTTTGCATATTCTAATTTTTATGTTTTAGACAGACGAAAAGACAAAAGGTTCTGGACTGAACGGTAGCAAGCATTACATGAGTTCAGTCTCCTCTTAATTTCCTCCTGAATCAGGTTTCGATCTGTTATCGTTGTTCCCAAATACCTGAACTGTGCCACATTTTCAAAACATCTACACACAATTTGTTCCGAGGCCTTACACTCTGATAATGCGTACCAACGTCTCGACGAAACGTACTGCATACTTCTGAGGAGTAAATTTCTCCAGACTATACGGCGTCACAATACACTGTGCCCAAAATATTCGCCAGGTTTTGTGTCACGAACAGACAGTTACTGCCACGGGAAGAGAAGCGGAGACCTCGTTCAACACGCGCTTGCCTCACTGAGTGACGGAGCTACGAGACGAAAGGGGGCTTCCCCAAAGCAGGGCCTGGAGTTGAACCCTCCGGCACAGGTCACGGCCCGGTGGTGGGCTTTTGTTACCGCGGTACTGAATATTTCGGGGCATTAAGCGCGGGTGACTATCAGCTTATCGATACAGACCGTTAGTTACGTGAATGTTCGCGCCTGTGGAGCAAGTCCTGCCAGGTGCTGTCTTGTTTCCGGCAACAGACGCACAGACCGATAACACTTGGCCACGTCGGATGTCCTTATCAGGATATGAACTCAAGACACAGCAACATCCGGAGCGGTCAGCGTGCAACTGCAGGCGAAGTAACAATGTTTTGCCCTGTGTTACTTTTGTATGGGTGTGGAACTTGGTCTCTCCCCCCACGAAAGGAACACAGACAAAGGGCGCTTGAGAACAGGGTGTCCGCAGCCTAACGGGGAAGAAATGGCACGAACAAGCAAGTGACATCCTCCATCAAATGTTATGATGGGATGGGCAGGGCGTATAACACGCATGGGAGAGATGAAACATGCGTGAAAGAATTATAAGCGGAAGACTTGTGGAAGGGAACCTGTAAGTGGAACAGGTGGGAAGCCGAGGCGTGGATTCATCTGGCGCACTATTGTGAGAACATCAGGAGCAGCGCGTGGCCCGACTGCGTGCTGCGTGGACAGCCCTGCCGCGAGCCGACAGCTGTTCGGCCTCGTGTCTGCCAGCTTCGAGTTTGATTTGTTGTTCACGCAACTTGCCGTGAGGTAAGAAGCCCACTGCTTCACGTGGTGTCCGTCCATCCATTCATGCCTGTAGCGCACACAGCAAATGGTTCATTAGGGTCCTGACTTCGTCGCGCCGTAAGTATACAGCGTGTAGCGTCGGTACCAGCGTCCTCCACAGCACAGACGTCACGCACTTCATCCCTATTTACACTCTTTTTAAGAAGAAATCGCTTTCATACCCTGAAGATGGAAGCACCATTTTCCTCAGAAACGTCGCTACCTACACGGCGACGCATCCCGCAACGCCGTAACCTAAAATCAGATATTTCGAATAAACAAGTCGGCCTACATAAAAATATAACTTTACTGGCTGTTCCTTGCCTAACAGAGAGCTCGCGAGTTAACATAAAATTCATTTACCAATATGTACGGTAGTCACGACTGTTGTTATTGCGGTATACTGGGTTTCTTGCTTGCCTTACTCTTCAACCTGAACATGGAGGCGGTATGTTCCTCCAAAACGTCTGGGCACAGCCCATGAGACCACTGTGAAAACCGCAATTTCAGCATTGATAGATTTTCCTGATGCGACTGAAACCCGCATTCCCAGTTCTTTTAATTCGCGGGTTCGATTCCAGACGACGTCATTGCATTTTCCATTTGACCTAATCCTTCCAGCCGCACTATGGCCCTGGGATGGACTCAGCCTTTAACAGAAATGAGTACCAGGAATATATCTGGGAGTAAAGGACGGCCGGCGCATAAGGCTGACAAGC